ATCGTTCGACCAGATCGCATAGCGTGCGACCAGAGAGGAAGCGGAAGCCTTTTGCCCAATTCGGTCTTTCGTGGTAGCGTGCGACCAGAGAGGAAGCGGGAGGGTGGCCAGGGAGGGGAGGGGAGGGAAAGAGGGGGAGAGGGAGAGGGAGAGGGAGAGGGAGAGGGAGAAAAAAGGGGTAGGCTGGCGCCGGAAACAGCGGTGGAGGTGGTGGTGGCCGGCGGCGGGAGGTGTGGTGGATAGGGGTGGGGGAGAAAGAGAAGAAAATGGAAAGTTTTTTGTGTATTAGATATTTTAAAGTGTGTAGGTTAAAAAATTTGATAAGTTTTTTTGGGTTTCTGTAGCTAAAGTTGTTAAAAAACTAGTAACTAAAAAACTTGTCCAAAAAATCCACTTCCAAACAGGCCCATGTAGTAATTTACTCCTTACATTAACCCCTGATTATCTAGGGTTAATGTTGTAGTATCAGTTGACTTGTCCCATAATAACTTTTTCGATTTTACACATCATATCATTACTTCACTTTTAAACATCGCAATCGAAGATAGATTTTTTTTTTTAGTTACTGCATAAAGTTGCACTTTCCGGTGGGTGCACAACCAGCCCCACCTAGTAATTAGGTATATAATAAATAAGTTGAACATATCTGGTAGCAGCTGTCACTCAGGTGGCCAAAGTCGCGGTGATGGTACAAGCAAGCAGAATGACCATAGATATTGGCCTATTGGATTGAACAGCTTCAGGTGCGGGCCCCATTTTTCACCAACTACAGTAGAGATCCGCTGCCGCCGCCGCCTTTTTGGACTGTGGAAGCTAAAGACTTCCACCGACCTGCGGTGTTCGCCTGGCTTTCAGAAATCATAATCACAGGGGGAGGATAGCGATGGTGTTTAGGAATTCAATTACGCGTATTGGTAAACATTTTACTGAAGATTGCTAAAACTTTTTCATAAGGAGTTAGGGGTGTGGGATTTACGGGATAAAAGAATGTAGAGAAGAAACAGGGAAATACAGCAGCCGTCTTTAAAAAAAAAAAAAAAATTCTCTGAGGGGTTGATTAAAATTTTAGTTACTTAAATTTAAAAAATTAATAAGCAGGCTAGTGGTATCGAAATTCCCATCTTCAGCTGCTGGCAAGCGGGAGTGAGAAATTTCGCATGTTACACGTTCCTGGTGCTGGGTTGCACTTACACGACGAAGCACATCACCATTCAACAAGCAAAGATTCACCAAACAAAACTACTCTACTCTAATTAAAATTCGGATTTTTGCTGCTAAGTTCTGTTTTTTCCGGCCTTCCCCAAGCTATATATTTGTGCGTGTTTTCTCTTTTGTTTTGCGGTTGCCTTCGCTAGAATCGCATCATCTGCTCTGATCGGCCTTGGGTTTGCATTCTCTGCCGGAATTGAGTAAATAATAATGGGCTCGATCAGTTGTGCCAATTATTTTACAATCAGCTCCACTTACGTTGTCGATCATCAGTTTCCGCCTTGTGCCTCTCCTTCCTCGTATCGCTCTACACTTGGCTGTTCCCGACTACCTCCTCCTCCTACTGAGCACTACCGCCGGCGTCAGTTCGCCAAGGCAGTGAGGCCTGCCGATGTCGCTCCTTCCTACTCCGACACAACCAACTCCATGCCTGTGAGTCACCCTCATCCACAACCCCCTCTCCCTCTCCATTTTTACATGCATTACAGACACACACACACATCTTTAGACGATGCTAATTGTATATTGCAGCGATCCTCCACACCTTTCTCCAGAAAAAAGGGTAGAAAAGAAAACGGGCATAGTGCTGGGCATGGAAAGATTTGAAATAATCATCTTTTAGTGCTCTGCTCGATCCTCGTGCTATGGTTGCTCCTTGAGATAGATCGAGTAATTAAACACGTGTCTTTTTTTTTTAATCCTTGACAGTTGGAGAATTTGTATCTGCAGCCAAAAGGTCGAACTAACCCGGTTGGTGAATTTATGACTGGGAGAGACGATTTACATGTGGTGAAGGCTTGTACAACTGTTGAAGATGGTATTTTCCCACTCTTGCGTCGTTCACTTTTTAACAGGCACGATATGCAGTGACTTACCCTGTCCCGCCTCCTTTGTTGCATTTGGCAGCACTAGAAACTCTTGCCAAGAAAAGAATCACTGGATTTCCTGTGGTAGATGATGATTGGAAGTTGGTAAAGTTCAGGCCCCTTTTCCCTTTTCCCATTTATATTAGCAAGTCTTTTGCATTCAATGGAGACAGAAACTTTCTTGCAGGTAGGCGTTGTTTCCGATTATGACTTGTTGGCACTTGACTCTATCTCAGGTACTCCTTTTAGTTTCAAAACCAAAGTCAACTTTTAAAAAATTCGTACATTATAAGTTACTCTGCGAGGTAAATTGTTTTTGGATCCTTGTTTGGTTCAATAAATGAAAAGCGAGTAAATGTGTGCCGACTAAGAAAGGAGAAATAAACAAATCATATATATCAGAAGAAACCTAAGTACGAATCTGGCGTAGTTGCTGCCCATCTTCCTGATTTCCACTTTTTACTCAAGCAAGCATATGATTATTGAACTTCTATGTTTTCTCACAGGTAGAAGTCAAGCTGACACAAATTTGTTTCCTGCTGTTGATAGCACTTGGAAGGTACTGAAAAATTCTCTGTTCTCTGCATTTTGCATTTGGGTCCTCTTGTCCATTCTGTTCTTTGGTTGGAACTCTTTATGCTAGACGCGCTACATATTTGATATTTCTTGGTTGTAAGCTGTATGCACATTTCTCCGTATCCACATAACAGAGCAGGCAAATCAATTAAGACAAGGGCACGGATATCTGCTTGGGGTTTGGGTTTTGTGGGAAGGAGCAAATCATTCATGGCTACCCCTAATTCAGGGAAAGTTGAAACTATATTGGCGCTTAAGGAATTACTAGGTTTTGTGTTTTTGTCTTTTGACAGAAAAAAAAAAAAAAGAAGAAAACTGGTGCATCCCATTATGGTTTTAGTCATTTGATTTGGCATACTAGAGAAAGAATTCCGGACATTGAACTTCTAATGCATGACATTGCCTATTGTGACAGACATTCAGCGAGATACAGAAACTGCTGGGGAAAACTAACGGAAAAGTTGTTGGCGACCTCATGACACCTTCTCCGCTTGTTGTTCAAGAAAGTACTAATCTTGAGGAAGCTGCAAGGTTAATGCTAATCCTGAATTTCTTGCACCAAGTTATGCTTACAGCTTGTTAGTATAAATTGCAAGCATTGTATCTCGTATAGCTTTGCAGTCCCATTCCTCTTTTCCACAAATAATTAAGTCCAAGAAAAGGTTAAAATCTGATATTGCAATTCTTCCTCAACTTGCTGGAAGTTAAGCACGTCCTCTGCAAGTCCTTTTTTTTTTTTAAGCATTTGTGCAAATCTTATTCTTCACCGACGGTGTATATATGATATACTTTTACTTTGTGTTAACAAAATGGCTCGTGTTGCTGTTATGAACGGGTTAGAGCCTAATTGAGGGGTTATATTCAATTGAAATCCCAACTCTTGGCTGCATGCCTGCATGTCCTAACCACTTGAGACTTTGTGTTTTAGGTTGTTGCTTGAGACCAAGTACCGTAGACTGCCAGTTGTTGATGCCGATGGCAAACTGGTAAGATAGAGTGCATTTTCAATCTAGTATCGATTGGGATTTCGTTACATTTTTTCATCAAGTAAATGGATTTTGATCAGTCCTCTTTCTTTAACTATAATAGGTTGGAATAATCACAAGAGGTGATATTGTTAGAGCTGCTCTTCGGATAAAACATGCCAGTGAGCAGATTGGATAACTGCGAGACTTTTGAAGATGTATCTTTACATGGAATATACCTGCATATTGCTGCCAGTACCGAATTGTTTCCACTAAAGTAGCTCAATTGTTTGTCTGAATTATTTTTTGGGTTCAATACCATAGCATTTGGGTAAAATTTCGTATGTACATTTTCTAAAGAAACTCTGGAAGCTGTCGGAATTTATTTCTGTAGATTCATGCTTTATAGGCTTGGTTGTTGTTCAGATAGAAATTTTTTATACTGGAACTTGAGATTGAGATTGAGGTCCATGGTGAGATTATATTTCATGAACAAACTGTGGTTCAACTAGCGGCTATCAAGAAGGTCAAGGTATTGCAATGCTTGCCATGTATGGTGTGGTTCTTTCTGTACGCTATAGACCCCAACGCTGTGAAGCATGGTGACTCCGGAATTTTCAAGTATAATCGGGAAAGAATTCTAGCTGCTTTAATGCCTGGCTTGTTGACTATGTGATTTCTATGTATCTTAGCCGTCAGAACCATTTGGAAGCATCCCCAGATTCGTTCCTTCTCCGTGCCTGATTATATAGTTCTTATGAGCCTAGAGAATTGATGAGCACCGAGAGTGCATGTTACGGATATAACCTCAATGAAACGCCTAATTTTTTAGGTTTTCAGTGGGCATATTTCTCTATCATTTTTTTACTTTATATACATACATTGTTACAGGATTTTTTTTACAAAAACTTCAAAAAATAACAATCCAAACTGACTGTACAATTGTGCAAATCTGAGGAATCAGACCAGATCAGAAATTTTAGCGGGTAGCAGAAGGATATGATAAGCATATTAATTTGCTTTGTTTTGAAGCTGTGTCAAATTAAAGGCAAGCAAGTACGCTCTATGTCTACCGCGTTGAACCCAGGATGTTCCATGCTCAAAATTTTACAAATGTAGATTTTGAGAGAGAAGTTATTAAAATTGACTTCCAAATTTTTTTTGCCAATTTTGATGTTTATAGAATTTTTTGGTGTAATATAGAGTGCAGAAAGGCCTAGGTAGTTGCCTGCTCCAAACATTTTTTGTTCAGTTATCAGTAGCGACAGCAAGGCAAAGTCAACGAGATAAATCATATTTGCTTTGCTCGAATCAAGGCCTCATTTCAGTTTTGCCAACTGTCTTTTGCTCTTTCTCCTTCCTGTTCTCTGACTCTCCTCTACTCATGAGATCACAATCTCCAGGTGTAGAAATGTTCTTTTTTCCCTTTTTGGGTGGAGGAATTCCGAATGATCGACCTGGCCAGGCTGTTCTCAAGCCATGGTGTCAAAGCCAGTATGATCACCTTCCCGAACGATGCAGCTGTCTTTGAAAAATCAATCAGAAGAGACCAGCAATCTGGGCACGACATCAAACTCCTCACTCTTCAAACCCCTGCAGATGATGCCGGCCTCAGCACAACAGACATGTCTGCCCCGCCGCTCACTGACACCTCCGTTCTCCAAGAACCCCTCAAACAAGTCATCAAAGACTACACCCCGGACTGCATTGTCGCCGATGCCTTCCACTGTTGGGTGCCGTACGTTACTGACCAAATAGGGAGTTCCACAAATCATCTTTAATGGCAATTGTTGCTTTGCCAGCTGTTGTGAATATAGTCTCAGACGGCATTCGCCTCATACAGAAGTCAGCTTGGATTCTGAGCCCTTTCGAATTCCGGGTCTTCCTGGTAAGATAGAACTGACTAGGTCTCGGCTTCCGCCGGCCTTTCTCCGAATGGGGAATGGAGTTCCAGCTAAGATGATGATAGCAGAGCAGTACAGTTTTGGACAAGTTATTAATGGTTTCTATGGTCTAGAACCAGCTTATGTTGATCATTGTAGAAATGCAATGCGAAAGAAAATTTGGCTTGTTGGACCCGTTTCTTTATGCAACAACAATCTCGAAGATAAGGCAAGACAGAGAGAGGTCAAAAGGCCACTATTGATGAAAGTAGTTGTTTGAGACTTTGAGTTGGCTTGATTCCAAGAAACCAAGTTCAGTTGTATTTATAAGTTTTGGCAGCCTAGCTAGACTCAGCTCCACTCAACTTTATGAAATCGCTTGTGGTCTTGAAAATTCAGGTCATCCGTTCATATGGGTGGTGGGAAAAGCACTAGAGGAAGCAGGTAAGGATAAATTTCCGGATGGACTTGAGGAGGGGATGATAGGAAATAAGAAGGGATTGATCATCAAAGGGTTTTTACACCAAGAAAAAAAAAATCAAAGGGTGGGCTCCACAGTTGCTTATCTTGGAACACGAGGCTATAGGTGGGTTCCTGACGCATTGTGGATGGAATTCTGCTCTGGAGGGAGTGTGTGCTGGGGTGCCTATGATCACCTGGCCGCTCTCAGGGGAGCATTTTGCCAATGAGAAGTTGGTGACAGATGTGTTGAAGATTGGAATAGCAGTTGGGAGTGAGGGATGGGCGTCGTGGCCATTGGAGAGGAAGGAGGTGGGGGGGAGGGAGAAAGTGGAGGCGTCTGTGTTAAGGCTGATGAGTGATGGTGAAGATGAGGAAGAGGGTGAAAGAATTAGTGAAGATTCGTAAGACGGCGGTGGAAGAAGGCGGGTCTTCGTTTAATGACACGCCATCGTTGATTGAGGAACTCAAGTCCCTCCGGCGGGCGTAAAATATGGTAGTAAAATACTACTTGCAGCAAAATAGAAGTCCGTCAGGGAGGGTGGGGGTGGCGGTGGCGGCGTCTAGTCCACCACTAGGTTAGGAGGAAGAAAAAAAAAAGAAAAAGAATTGTGTGTGTTTGTGCAACGTTTTGTACGAAAACAACGAGGTGAATTGATGCTCTGCCTAATTACTCTTGATGGAAATTTTATTGATCTTTTCTGCTGAAATAGTACTCCAATGCAGTAAATCAGAATTTGGATGTCGTTTCATGGGGTTGGTTCTTGTTGCACAAACTATTATGGGGTGTTTGAGAAATGGGTTACGCTCACTACATAACTCATCGACTGTGAAATTGCAAGAAATTGACGATGGAAGTTAGTATACTGTTCTGAGTTTATCACTTATTTGATGCTACTTGTGTATATAATTGGAATTTCTTGTATTTTAAAAGTCTGTCGTGGGTTACATGTAACTTTATAAAAAAACATACTACATATTTGTACTTTATTTATTTAATTATTTAGTGAAATGTTGTGTGGAGCTATAGATTAGGAAGAACAGATAATACCTTTCTTTGCCGAATCCGCATTTTGTAAAGATATAAACAACTTGTAGTAATGAGATTAAGTAATCATATTCTATCACAAAAAAACAAAAGAAGCGAAATCTTATGGCATTGAGAAGATATGGGTACATGAGAATATTATTTTTTTTTTCAAAATTTTTAGTGAAATCTAATGTCACTGATACAAAATTGGGCAATCAAATGAAAAATAACACTTTGCCCCTATGAACGTAGGGAGTAGTCACACTTTATCCTCTCAATTTTAAATATATACTCTTTACCTCCCACAAAAAAAGATTTATATCTTCTCTGTCGTATCAATTATACAAAAATATCAAACTAAAAAAGTTTTTAAAAAGTTAATATTTAGTTTATACCCTTGAAACTTTTCTAGTTGGATTAATATTTGCTTCTATATACGCTTTGTTCAATTTATTAGACTTTACGTCAAACAAAACGAATAAATAACACAATACTAAAAATAAATATAATTACCAACATCTTATATAAAAATGTAATATCAAACTAATTTTAAAGTCATTTTAATTTATTTTAATTTTAGACTAATATCATTTTCATTTTTTTGTTTATATTATTCCAGTATGAAATTCTTAATCAAATTTGCTAAAATTGATTGATACATATCATTTTCAAACTTAGAGATGAAAAATGGAGATTAAATCAAATTTTAAACTTAGGGAATAGACACTCTTAAGTTTAGCCTAAAAGTTCACATAAACTAAATAATAAAAAAACTACCTTTTAAACAAAAAAAAGGTTTAGTATTACCTCTTTTTTCAAAAAGAAATTTGGTATGCATGTTTATTTTAGTATTGTGTTATTTATTTATTTTTACTTAAATCATAATAAATTGAACAAAGCATATATAAAAGTGAATAGTAATTGAAAAAAAAATTTAAGGATATAAAATAAATTTAAACTTTATTTATTTTTTTTAGTTTAATATTGTTGTATAACTGATACAATAGATAATATGTATATTTTTTAGCAATAAATGGATAATAATGTCATTGCACTCACTTTTTTTAATTTTTAACTCTGACTAGTCTTTATGGGAGCAAAATGCATATATGTAAAGTTGAAGGGGGTAAAGTGTAATTATTCCCTAAGTTCAGGGGGCAAAGTGTTATTAACCCAAGTTTTTAAGAGGTAATCAAACTCAAAAGGTATTCCAATTATTCTGTAATGCACTCCAGAGAAAAAGACCAAATAGTAGTTGCTTAGGGTATATGTTTGGTGTCAAATGGATTGGGTATTGGATGAGCAAACCCAGTTACGCAAGGGATTACGTAATCACTTTTTATGGCTCGACTTGGACTTCCAGTGTTGATTTACGGAGTGGCTGGCGCATGGCTTGGAAGGGAGTAGAAATCATAACTTGTGATGTGAAATTTTGAGCCGTCATGTTTGATGTTGTCAATCTAGTCTAATTGTACCCTCAAAAAAGAAACATTAGTGAATTGCATGTTATCATATCAGCCCCCCGTTTGCGACTTAATCATAATGCGAATAGTTTGGAACAAATTTTTTTAATTTTACTATTATGAATTGACTGTAGAAAGTGTGTATTTGTGTTTTTCAGGTTTAAAATTCAATTTTGTGTGTATTAGCTGGAAAATGGTGCAGGAAGGGGTGAATAAAAAAAATAAAACAAAAAAAGTTTGTTTGTGTTACTCATGCGTGCTTGAAATTACGTGTCTAAAAAAGATATATATGCATAAAAAGAGGATAATTTTTTTTTATATACAGTCAGTGTATACACAAGTGGGCGTAGATGTGTGCCATGTGATCTAATTTTAAATTTGAAATTCACCTTTTATATAAACGGCATATATCTACACATATTAGTATAAAAAATTCATTACATTGATAGTGAATAAAAACTTAATCCTAAAAATAATGTGGATAGCGAAAAAATTTGATGTTTGCATTATAGTTTGAGTTTTCTGGTGGCAGTTTCAGATTTTTTACAAAAATTTTTCTGACAGGAAAACATACATTTGGAATTGGATCGGAGTTTATTTGAAATATTATTTAAAACAATTACTATAGAATTCTTTTTTATCATGTGATGTATGTACGCTAAAAAATTAATTAAAAATATATTTATAATACAAAAAAATAATTTTTGTGCAAATAATGCCCATCCAAATACATCCGTTAGTCAGGGCAATGTTGCCAGTCTAAGGAGGAGCAGGAGAGTTGGATGAGGTCGCAAATGAGTAGCTCTGTTCAACTCAATTACCGGTATTATAATTTTCAACCTCGTATTTTCTTTTAAAATTCATGCCCTTGAACAAAAAAAGGCTTAGACTAGTAGTCAGCTGTATTTTAGAGATGTAGTGTCGTAGGTTTTAAGTGCGCCAATTATACACTCAAAGACAAAAAAAAAAGGCACATTTATGATTTGGATCACTCGGTTTCAGTTTAAAAAAGGATGGCATACCCCACACCACGATTTACTTTCGATGTATTACGTTTCTGGAAATTGTCGTACTACTCCATTTGGTAAGTTGATTTCTTCTTGGGAGAGTCGATGCCTGAACATTTTCCATTTAAACGTGGGCTTAATTTTGGTGGAAAATAGTTGGGATGCAACGTGGATGGTGGACCGCTTACCACAGCAATTTGAGTGACGAAAGGGATTATTTCAGCAATCAATTAATGACGAAGGAGTTGCCCAGGCTGCCGAGTGCTGGTAGTCTCCTGCGTCCTGTCCTTTTCTCTCTTCAATACGTACACATCTTGGACAGTACGTTCGTGTTGGACAAGAAAATGCATGAGTTGGACTGCATGTCAGGTCGGATAACCTGTGAAGATCCGGTCAACCAATTCCTCACACTTCTAGAATACACGGAAAATATGAACTGCGAGTAACAAAATAATACTACTAATATAATGCCAAAGGGATTTGGATAAAACCTTTCTCATGGTGAAGGGGTAACAAATGAGACTTTGCCAAAACCCCAAGGGTTCAAGTCCAATTCATCCTCTCTGCATTTCAAAGGGCAGAAGGGAAGACGTATCCAGCCCGCAGTCAAAACTCAAAAGTCGTTCGCACACGATCTACGTTTGAACAAGAAGCCAAAATTGTGTGGTTTTCCTCTGCTTCCCAGAAAGTTTCTTAAACCACTCTCAATAAGAGGAGCTCGCCGGGTTTATATATACTTACATTACTTCGTCAGTCAATAATCGCATCAGGAATTAGCTCAACCAAATTCTTTCAAAAAAAAAAAACTCCACTGCATCTATTTCTTAAATCCATACCTCAAATCAGAGGCAAAAATGGTTCACCAGCTGCATGTATTCTTCTTCCCCTTCTTTGCTCATGGCCATATGCTACCAACCTTAGACATGGCCAAAGTCTTTAGTTCTCGCGGGGCCAAAGCCACCGTCATCACCACTCCTCTGCATGCCCCAGTTTTTAACAAAGCAATAGAGAAATGTAAACAGCTGGGGTTCGACATATCCATTCGTGTTGTCAAATTCCCAGCCGTGGAAGCTGGCTTGCCGGAAGGAACAGAGGGCGCTGACCAATTGAAATCCGATGACATGCTCCCCAATTTCTTCTTGGCAACTCGCCTGCTCCAAGAACCCGTGGAGCAACTCTTACAAGAATGCCGCCCGCATTGCCTCGTTGCCGACTTTTTCTTCCCCTGGGCAACTGATTCTGCAGCCAAATATGGCATCCCAAGATTGCTTTTTCATGGATCGAGTTCTTTTGCAATGTCCGCTTCTGAGAGCGTCTGGCGGAATAAGCCTTACCGGAATGTTTCCTCTGACGATGAGCCCTTTGTTATACCTGATCTTCCTCACGACATTTATATAACCAGAGGACAAGTATCGACCTACGAGCGGCAGGAGGTTGAAAACGAGTTCACAAAGATGATGGAACAAGTCAAGGAATCAGAATTGAGGAGCTACGGTGTTATTGTCAACAGTTTCTATGAGCTTGAACCTGATTATGCTGAGCACTACACGAAGAAATTGGGAAGAAGGGCTTGGCATGTTGGCCCTTTCGTGCTCATTAACAAGGAAGCTGAAGACAAAGCTGAGAGAGGCAAGAAATCAGCTATTGATCAAGTTCAGTGTCTGGAGTGGCTCGATAAGCAAAAACCCAATTCAGTTGTCTACGTCTGTTTTGGGAGCATGTCCAACTTCAACGCTGCTCAATTACATGAAATTGCCAAGGGTCTTGAGGCCTCTGGCCAACAATTCATTTGGGTGGTAAGAAATTGCGTGGACGAGGAAGATAGCAAGAGATGGTTTCCTGAAGGATTCGAGGAGAGAACGAAAGAAAGGGGCTTAATTATAAAAGGGTGGGCACCTCAACTCTTGATTCTTGGGCACGAAGCTGTGGGAGCATTTGTGACTCACTGTGGATGGAATTCAACTCTGGAGGGCGTATCTTGCGGTGTGCCAATGGTTACATGGCCCTTGTTTGCAGAGCAGTTTTTCAATGAAAAATTGCTGACGAATGTCTTGAAAATTGGTGTTGGCGTCGGGGCTCAGCAATGGAGCAGACTCACGACTGAAATCATAAGGGCAGAAGCTTTAACCAAGGCAGTGGATCGTATTATGGATGGAGAAGAAGCCCTTAACATCAGAGGTCGAGCAAAGGCCCTAAAAGAAAAAGCTAGGAAGGCAGTGGAAGAAGGTGGATCTTCTTATTCTGATTTCAATACTCTCGTGGAAGAACTGAGCAAGTATCATCATGCAAGCAAGAAACCAAGTCAAAGCGAGGGGGCAAATATTTTGACTTAATATGCATTATTGTTTTATTTCTTCTTCTTTTTTTTTTTAAGTGCTATCAGGTTTCAGTCCATGATATATATTACGAGTACTTATTAATTATTGAAGCCAAGGCTTTGTAGCGACAGACTGAACCGTTTGTG